ATGCCAACTGGGGAACAAGACAAAGTTATGAAGAGCCATGACATGACAATTCGAGAAGCAAAATTGCACATCGCTTGGAGGATCCTTCCAGGGACAGTTAAGCGTCTGACATTTTAGTGCCAGTTTATACACTTAAAAATGTTCCAGGTTAGGTGTGAAACCAAAATTGCCACCTAATCTTAGAAAAAAGCCAGAGGTTTTGGTGATGGTTTGATATGATACAAATAGTACATAACAGCTTTCTCTAAATGATGGTGATAGTGTATTGTTAATATCGCCTTAGTAATTCCACCTATCCTTAGTCAGATAGTATTTCATACTTGAAGTAACATGGGGATACTTTCCCAGAACAACTACAATCCCTAAGCCTTCACTATGTGCCACATACAGGGGACTTCAAAAATCCTGTGGAAAATTTCCATGATCATTTAATTCCATTTTCCACAAGCCTGCTGAAGCCCCTTTATACTGTTATAAGAACTTTACAAGTATTAATTCAGGAACTAAAGCCTCTCTCATGTCACATGAGTACTGATTTTTTGTTATTTCACCAGAAAAGAAAAACTATCCCACATTTAATTTGACCAGTATTTTAGGATAGAAAGATGAGGGGGCAATTTTATTAATGTAAACAACCTGGTAGAAAGAGGCCTGCCCTAGGAATTGGGTGTCTTGAGGGCTTTAATCTTTTGATTAACCACGTGTCTGATGCCAGTAATTAAAAACCTTGTAAATCTGCTTTCAGGTGATAATCAAACTGTCCAACACCTGGCAAGGCACAGGCACCACTTACACAGACTAGAAAGCCTGGCAGGCCCGTGGGCGGTGGCTACGCCCCAGCCTACTGTGAGCCCTTTCTGCTCCCGCACTGCAGGGCTCGCGTGAGGACCAAATGAGTACTCTCTCTGAAATGCTCTGGTGAAAATGTGTACTTGATGACTCATGACAACTATTGCCAGTCATAAACATGTCTACTCAACACCTGCCAACACAGTACATTAGGAGTTCTTATCTACAAATTAGATTAGTAGAATTGCACCAAGCTAAATAAATAATGTGGCAGCATATTCATTTAGACAAAGTCAAAATAGGATGGAAGTAGGTCAATCCAATATAAGCAAACAAGAAACTGGTCTTTGGCTGACCTTGTGGTTGACAGTCTAAATGGTTGCTGGACTGCACCACACACAGGAGGGGATAGGTATCCCCTCAAAAAAACACAACGGAACACCCCCCCCCAAAGCTATGTGTTTACATTTTGTTGACATCTTTATCTGGGATGTTGACAGATGTCCAGAACAAGGTTTGTCATCAATCAACATTTCACCTTTTTGGAAACGAGAACACCACTTGTATACTGAGTTTTTCCCACAGCGCGGTACTTGTAAGCTGTGTTCCACATCACCACAGTTTCTGTGGCATTTTTCCTGAGCAGCAAACAAAATTTCACAGCTGCACCTGGTCTCTTAAATCAGCCATCACCAAAATTGAGGTTCAAGCAAAACTTTTTACCAAAAAATTCACTGTGACAGGGAGAACCTTCTCAGGTGATGCCACTGGGGACACTAAGAGCAAGTTGCTCGATGCTTGGCTAGAGGGAAAAAAAGCATCCTACGAAAGCTCCACTCAGCACAATTTCATTTTGGGGGTGAGCAGTACCCCCTTATATATGTTTATGTACTGTGTACAAAGTAAAAACATGAAGTAGGGAAAATGTTTTAATAGAGTTGTGTGAAAAAATGTCCCTCCTAAGTTTTAGCATCCTAAAGCACATAAATGTACACAGTTCTTTAAAAAGTACAATAATGAAAAATCATATACGTACTGTTCGAAAATGGCTGCTTAGATGGTCTAGCCTGCTGAATCTCTTCCCACAAGCGTGACATGGGTAGGGCCTTTCTCCTGTGTGACAACGCAGGTGGCGCTTTAAGTCAGCTTTCCGCTTCACCACATGGGTGCAGTACGGGCACTTGAATCGCATCCGGGGCAGCCCATCTGTCAGGAGAGTTTCATTAAATCACTGGGAAGCTCATAGTGAACAGTCTCACCAACGGAGGGAGGAGAGGAGAAGAAGGACGTTTTATGAAGAAATCCTAACTAGATGTTTTACCGGTTGACCAAGTCTAGATAGAATAAATAGATTGCCACACTTATCCTTGTTTCAATGTTGTAGAGTCACTAGATTTTAAATGTGAAGAGGTAGTGTTGGGTTTTAAAACTAGATACAGCGCCCCCAAAGGAACACATTAAAAAAAAAAAAGGAGCTCATTGCAGTATTCAATACTTAGGCTTTACCCAAAGTTGTTGACTACCTTGTTTCATTTGTTTTTATCCTCTTGTCTTTAAGAGCACTGGTGGCAAGATGGGTAATCCGCTAGGCTGCTAACTACAAGGTTGATGGTTCAAACCCACTAGCTACTCTACAGGAGGAAAATGAGGCTTTTTGTTCCCATAGAGAGTCACAGCCTTGGAAACCCGATGGGGCAGCTCTACTTTGCAACCTAGGGTTGCTACATGTTGGATGGCACCTAACAATAACATATTTTACACTGAAAATTTTCCACAGATGAATATACAGTACATACAGTGAAACTTGAGATCTTAAAATAATGTAGGGAATGGAGGACTGAAGCTGACACTTACCATTAGTCAATGCCTACATAACGACTCGCCCTAAAGGGCAGGGCAGAACTGCCCCTGTGAGTTTCCAAGACGGTAACTCACTATGGGAGTAGAAATCCCTGTCTTACTCCCGGGGGTTTTGAACTGCAGACCTTGCAGTTATCAGTTAGAAGGGATCTCCCTGCGATCAAGTCAATTTTGAACCATGGTGATCCATGAATTACAGGCAGGTTAATAGGTGATAGAGGGGATAAAGTAGGTTGAGAGGTGATACAAGATTAGCTATGAGATGACAGTTGGGGCATACATGTTTATATTTTCCCCTTTTATATATTTTTCTAAAATAATTTTCCTAAACTTTTCTAAGATAGTCCAGGGTCTGTGAATCTGCAAATACACTAAGTTGCTTAAATTTTCTGTATAAAAACACTCTTACTGAGGAATACTTAAAAAACAGAGCCCAAACTCACTGCCATCAAGTCAACTCGGACTCATAGCCACCCTATAGGATAATGTAAGAACTGCCCCTGTGGTTTCCGACACTGACTCTGTGGGAACAGAAAGCCTTGTCTTTCTCCCTCAGAGCAGCTGATGGCTTTGAACTGCTGACCTTGTGCTTAGCAGCCCAGGGCATAACTACTACAGGGCTTCTGGAGGTAATACTCAGAGGGAGGCGAAAACAAATCCAACAAACGACGTAAAGTGAAAGTAAGTACCTTAGGGATTGAACTGTAGAAAAGAGCTTTAAATATTGAACAGTAATTCCACCACTCACGTGTAGAAAATGAGTTTCTGATCCTAACCATATTGTTTAGACTGTCATTAAATTTGTTCGGCATTCTTTTAAATGGTGAATTTAAGAACTGTATTTTGAGGAGTAACACATACTATTAAAATGACTTCGTGGTTTAACTACGCGAACACGACCGATGAACATGCAGAGGCAAGGCGGAGCTCCAGGGGAGACGAGGAACGGGCTGGAGGGGAGGATGCTGTTTGGAGGTACCTGAAAAACGTCTGGATGTGACCTCAGGTCCTTGGCCGCCGTACTGGGAGCCAGCAGGAGAGTGCACTTCGGCATCCATCTGCGCCTGCTCCCCAGCGTGGTAGGTGTGACTTGTTTCATGCTTGGCCACAGGTGGTTTAACACTCCTTTGGGTGGTGGACTGGTGACTGGAGGAAAGCTTACTCCATGACTTTCCGCCCCGTCCCTTGGCTCCTTGATCTGGACTGAGGTGAGGATGTGGCGAACTGCTTTCTTCTTGCCAACCACCACCATACAGAGAGGGGCGTTCTGCACTGTTGGAATTGGCCTTTTTATCGGAAAGGCTGAAATAGCGGTCTTTCTCTTTTTCGCTGATGTCTAGTGAAGATTTAATAAAAGTCTTACAGACACTAATGACATCGGTCATCTGAAGGAAGCTAGCAGCTGACATGACTTCGATGACATTCTGACCGGTAAGAGACAGCTTTCCCGAATAGACGAAGTCCAGAATAATGGTGAAAGTGTCCGGGGAGAACGCCTGAAAGGTAGCTGTGGCTGGCTGACTGGTCTCCTTGGAGTGCTGAGAGAGCAGCATCTTAAAGTACCCACTGCTCGCAAACAGCACGTTCCGGTGTGCTTTGAAGACCTTGCCTTCCACCAGGATACTGCAGTCACAGAACACGTCCTGCCGGCGCTGCTCGTTCAACTGCTGCAGGAGGTGAGACTGATGAGAGGAGATCTCCATCCTAGAGAGGAACGGACATTCATGGTTAGCGCAAGCGCAAAGGCACCAGTGCCTCCCCGTTCAAAGCATGATCTTCTTGGGAATGCAGTCTTCACAGAAGGTATTCGGCTTCAGTTTTAGAAGATGCCATTTAATCCTGCACTACCAGTGACTCGATTCTTAGAAATTGACTGACCAGCCTGCAAACCCCAGTATCTTTCGTAATTCAGACCCTCTGCTAGGGTTTAGACAAAACAGATTTCATGTCAGGCCTCATGAAGCTTCCCACCTGGCAGGTGTATGAGGCCTTAACAAACAGCCACTAGGATGTTCAAGTGGTTAAGTTACATACTCAGGTAAGAAGAAAATGCTGAGAGTAATTTAAGGCTCCCTGGTTGCACAAATAGCGGAACCCTGGTGGCGGAATGGTTTTGCGTT